GGTATTTTGGTTTTTTTTTTGACAAGTATGGTATTTTGGTTATTGGTACATTTTTTTATAAGATCATATAAATACAGTTGTTTGGGGCGGCAGACTGATTCCTTTTTTCTGGCTCCCTTTTTTCATTCAGTCTCTTCTCTGTCTCTTTTCATACATTTCTGCCTCTCTTTTATTCTTTTCCTGTGATTTTTTCTTTCATTTTTCAACACTAAATAGGATCCTGGTAACAGACTGCTCAACAAGTTAACACAAATTCTGCAATGTAAGATTTAAAGCAGAATAGTTTTGTCAAAACTTAGTGGAATGGAGAATTATAAGGGCTTTTAAATTTGAGGAGGTCCTGTGCAGGATTGTCATTGAAAAACAAAAGAACTATTTACCGAGACAAACCAGGTAGTTTTTTAAATTTAGAAATGGGAAAGAGGAAAGGAAACTTGGATGTGCTGGAAGATGGTTTTAGAGTGGATTGATGCCTTTAGAATGTCAACCTACTCAAAAAAATCTTTAAACTATTTTAGAATATATTTGATGGAACATGATTGGCTGATGGTATATAAGACAGAACAAAGGCAGTGGAGTTCTTTTAATTTTCTTCTAATCAAGGATGTGCTGGTATGGAGTTGCCACAAACAAAGGGCACATCAAATAGTTAAGGTTGAACTTTTTCTTTGGAAAACAAAGGCTGCAATTCCCTATCCTAGCCTATGGCCTGACTTTTTGTGAGATTGCATCAATATCTTAAATTATAATCCAGCATCCCAGAGATTGAGATGATCAATCCTTACAATACAAAAACAAAAGGATCATGCAAGCATAGCCTCTCTCTCTCTCTCTCTCTCTCTCTCTCTCTCTCTCTCTCTCTCTCTCTCTCTCCAGTTACATTACAGACCCAAACATATGGTTTATGTTTATGGTTTACCATTTTCTTTGCTAATTTATCAATCAGCCAGTGAATTTGCAACCTCTGTACCGATATAAATGTTCGCCTGCATATTTCTTGACAACCACTTAAACTGCTTTATCTCATTCTTAAACATCCATAATGCATTCTCTGTTTTCACAAACCAACTTATCACCACCTTTGAATCGCCTTCAATGATTAGTTTCTCCACCCTCATCTCCATCGCTTTTTGTGTAACATAAATTACAGCCTCAAATTCTGCTATTATTGAGTCGCAATTAAAACAGATATTTTATCATCAACTAGTCAGCACTTAGAGAGTGACTAGTAATCACATTGACTAGAGGTCAAAACGACCAGTTATTATCACCTCACTGCATTGACAATGCTGCTTCTATGAGAATTGAACCATTGACTCTTTAATAAATATACTACATTCAATCGTATTTCCAAAAAATGGGAGGGGGAAGCTCCCAAAAGTGAGGCTGTAGAAGTATGCTGATCTATATGATAGCATATATATATATTTAAATATTGTCCAAACACACACCCAAAAATATATATTATCAGATCAGATAATCTCAGATTGGATGGGTGAATCCTTATTCTATCCAATTATAAACAGATTGAATTTGGATTAAATTAGTCAGATTGGATTCAAACTTGAATTTGGACAAACAGATATAGTTTGCAGCCTAGATGCAACTTGTGGGGGCTTGCTCTATTGGGTACACTTACCATTCTACACCAGCACAAAGTTAAGAGAACATCAAACTTATGATGACCCTCTGACATTGTAACTTCTAGAAAATATAAAATAAGATTCAACAAACATTTATTTATAGTAAAAAGAAAGTTAAAAAAATAAAAACGGATACATCATACATCTAGGTCACAAGATGTGTCCTAGATGCTCTATTGGAGGTAAGATCAATACTTTGGAACCAAGCAGATGTGTCCTATGTGGTAACAATTCTGAGAAGATGGAGCATCTATTTCTGCACTGCAGATTCAGTTGGGAAATTTGGATGAAAATGCTAGAGGTTTTTGGAGTTCAGTTGTGCCTCTCAAGGAATGTATTGGAAATGTTACAAGGTTGGGGTCTGAGGGGTTTGTCAAGGAGAGGCAAGATTGTTTGGAAGGTGTTGCCAACGGTTGTAGTGTGGTCAATCTGGTCCGAAAGAAATTTGAGGCTTTTTTAAGACAATTTGAGGTTAGAGGAGAAAGTCTTAAAGAGCATTTGGGGAAGGTTATACTCTTGGGTGGCAACTCACAAATTGTTCAAGAATTGTCCTTATAACTCTTTTTTGGAGCACAGTAATCTTTCTGTATGATATTCATATAGTGGTTTTTTGGGATGTACAGTGTTATTGTCTTGCCCAATGCTTCACTGAGCAAGGTTGTATCTTTTCAGTTTGATTTAATGAAATACTTTACCTTTTCTCTCAAAAAAAATCAAAAAAAAAAATATCAACACTTTGGAAAACATGCAAAAGAAGAGAACTTATATGTATTTGTCCCCAAACCGCTGTATTTTGTGTAAAGTGAAGAGTGAGGACTATCAACATTTGTTGATATCTTGTTCTTTTGCTGCCAGTATTTGGAATTGGGTTTTAATGTTATTTGGGTCATTGGGTGTAGGTGGAACTTGCCCTCTGAAGTAAATCTACTTTTTGAACCGTCTTCCTTTGGGCGACTAACAAAGAGAGGAAATTTAATGTAGAAGTATACCAGGGCAGCTAACTTGTGGACAATTTGGGAGGAGAGGAATACTAGAATATTTCAAGAAAATGAAAGAAGCCTTGTTGAAGTAAATGAGTGTATAATGACAAGGACAACCTTTTGGCTGAAAACTTCAGACCTGTTCATGATTTTTTTTTTTTTTTTTGATCAACTTGTTCGTGAATCGTGCTTATGATGATTTAAAGAGAAATTGGGCAGTAATGGCATCCACAGCCTCCACAAAGAATAGACTACAAGCAGAATGAAAACCCCCTCCGGAAGGAGTAGTAAAACTGAATTTTGACAGAAGCAGTCAAGGTAATCCAGGGCCCTCAAGTAATAGGAGGGTTCTGAGAGATAAGGATAGCAACATCCTATCTTTATTCTCAGGACCAACGGGAGTTGGTGACTCTACAAGGGCTGAGATACTAGCAGTGGTACAAGGTATACATGTTGCTAGTCAACTTGGAGTTGAGAACTTGATAGTTGAAGGGGACTCCAAGGTGGTAGTGGGCTGGCTGTCAAGTTCAAAAACAGCCTTTTGGGGTTACAGGGATCTTCTAAAGAAAGTTAATTCGCTTACAAAGAATATGTTAGTTTTTAGTGGGTCAGCAGATTGGCAAATGTCATGGCATTCTTTGGCAAAACAAGGGGTATCAAGGGTTGACCTGTTTTGGGCTACCTTATAATTGTAATTCAGGCTAGAGTGTGCTTATTTGCTCAGTTCTAAGAAAATTATCCAGTGAGTGCATCATGTTCTTGCTACCTCAAATGGCGCACTAACAACCCACTAACATATGAAAAAATAGAGATTGCCTCCAAGGTAGCCTAACATGTTGAATGATGAATTCACGTGACCACAACACTTTCATGTGACCCTCCAATGAAACACAAGCATGCTATCTATCAAATGAAAAACCAAATCATTGAATGAGTGCAAGCCTACGTAATTTGGCTTCAATGAGTTCACATGGTCACAACACTTCCTTGTAACCCTACAATAAAACACAAACATGCTAACAAAGAAATGAAAAATCGAATCACCCAATGAGTGCATGCCTTTTCCCTACCAAAAATAGTACAAAAATAACCCACTAACACGTAAAAAATAGAGACTGCCTCTAAGGTTTACTACTATGATAATCAAAGAATGCCAGGGTAGCCTAACATGTATTGTGATGTGTTCACATAATACTTTCTTGTGGCCTTCTAATAAAATACTAGCATGCTATCAATCAAAGAAAAAACAAATCACCCAATGATGCATGCATGAGCGATTTGGTTTCGATGAGTTCATGTGGCTACAACAATTTCTTGTGACCCTCCAACAAGTCACAAGCATGCCAATAAAATACTAACATGCTATTAATCAAATTTAAAACCAATAAAACATAGACATCCTATCAATCAAACAAAGAGGCAACCCGGGCCCTTCAGGTATAGGAGGAGTATTCAGAGATGAAAATGGCAGAATTGTGGCTTTATTTTCAAGACCAATAGGAGTGGAGGACTCATTGAGAGCGGAGGTGATGGCCTTGATTCAAGGTGTAAGATATGCCAAACAATTAGAGTTACACCAAATTGAGATAGAGGGAGACTAAATTATTGATTGAGTGGCTACAATCTAGTAAGTTGGGAGCCTGGATTATAGACAGCATAAGGGAAATCCTCAACATAACAAGGGAGATCGGTGCATGCTTCAAATGGACAAGGAGATCAGCTAATGGTTTAGCTGGCACGTTGGTTAAACAAGGGACTGTGAGGGAGAGAATGTTCTGGACAGTTTTGTAAGAAAGATTACTAGGGGCTCAACTCCTACTTAGGGGTTGACAGCTGTACTTAAATCTGGAAAGTTATTCTTAAGTTGTATTAATGAAGTTACCATTTCCAATCAAAAAAAATCCTATCAATCAAACAAAAGACAAAATTACCCAATAAGTGCATGCTTGTTGTCACTACCCCAAGTGATACATGAACTAATTGCTATCAAATGAAAACTACAGACTATTTCTAGGATCCACTACCTTACTAGGAATTTTAAGAAATACGAAGGTAGCCTAATATGTGGAACATTAAATTCACATAATCATTACAATTTCTTATGGCCTCCAAGAAAATGTGAACATGCTATAAACCAAATCACCCAGTGAATGCATGCTTGGGTGATTTTGCTTTGATGAGCTCAAATAGTCACAACAGTTTCTTGAACCACCCAATAAGGTTGCATACATCTGTCCCTCCCCAGACCCCACATTGGTAGGAGCCCTGTGCATTGGACTGCCCTTTGTCCAATAAAACATAGACATGCAGCTATCAATCATATGAAAATCCAAAGAATTGTTTGGTTGGTTAATAAAAAACAAACTATAATGCTTACCTTCAAGGATGGAATAAGAGCAAACACTTCATCAACTGTTTCTGGAAAAATATTGCCAATCATGCACATCTGCAGTCAGAACTATGAAATCAGGAATGGACGCATCACACAGAGGAATTAAGTCATTTGTGCTGAGCTCCAAACCTCGCCATCAGAGACACCATGTCTTTTGAGTGGCCTAAAATATGAGTTAATTCTTCAAAAAAATTTAGCCACGAGGTTAAAGGTTGTCAAAATATCAAATTAAAGGATACTCAAGCACTTGTTGCACAGATGTATGACTTGTATACTGGTTACTGGTTTTGGCATATTGCAGACCATTGTCAAATGATCTGAAAAGCAAACACGTCCCCAGAAAGAAAACTCAGACATCAAGAAATTCCATAATTCACAATAAGTAGAAATTCTATCATTCATTAAAAAAAGGAAAAAAGAAAGAAAGAAAGAAAGATGAGATTAGATGAAATGAAGAACTTAAAAACTTTAAATGAATTTCTTACGTAGGCATCTTAAATGTTGGATCTTCAGATAGTATGACCAACTGTTCCTGGATTCCTTGTAAAATAATTGCTGCCTCACAATCTAACAGGCATTCAGTGTTCTTCGGAAGTTCTGATTTTTTTTGAAGATCAGTAAAAAAGAAAACTTGTATTAAATTAAAAATCTTTTTACAAAGACAATGGTTCGAGTTTTTTAAGGTATTGTACTAAAGACAAGAAATAAATACTATGCTTTAGCCATGTGAACCAAGGATCTTTACATGGAGCTATACAATAGAGACTATTGCTGTTAAAAAAAAGAGTATATCCTTGTCAAAAAAAAATATCCACCATGTGGCAGTCCATTGAATTATTTATGGACTGACAGCCAGAAACACAACTTTCCTTTCATCTTTCTTAACACCTCTTTCCATGTGCAGTCCTTGTTCTCAAAAGCCTTAACATTCCCTTCATCCGTACAACCCAAACACAACCATAGGTATTAATCCCCACACAACTTCCCCTTTCCTACTGAAGCCCATAAGCAGCCAGCTTAGCAGAAAATTGCTGATGGATTCAGGAAAGCACACTTCGCAACCAAATGTAGCTAATAAGAGAGAATAACACCAAAGCCTTGTTGAGAAAGAACAATGCAGGTGTGAGGCAGTGGTCAGTGGATTTCTGAAAGTTGGAAAGGGAATGCCACTAATGATAACACTTAGGGCTTGGGAAGAGAGAACTGAGGTGAAGAAGCTCTGCAAGAAAGATCTGGGGGAAATTGCAAGCTGAGGGAATTAGGGTTTCTCGATGAGGAAGATGGTATCTCTCAAGGTGGTGAGATCGGAGTAAATCAGCTTATTGACTGGAATATGAACAAATGTCCCTCAAGGTGTTCTGTCACCTGAATATATAGAAAATCCTGCCATGCAGATCATGTGTGATCTGAATGATTCTGGAATATTCTTTTGTCAGAAAGTAGTTCAGTTGGTTACACCAGCTCACATAAGTGGGTACAAACAAGGGCACTAAGGAGAACCAGTACTGAACAACGTGCTTTTCCCAATCTCTCACACGAACCCACCACATGTCACCATCTTGAACCTCACTTCACAGTTATGTTATCGTGCACTGGGTACTAAGATAACAGATTCAAAGTAGTTGGGAAACCTAGGCAAAGGATTTCACACACTTGGGATAGGGATTCGCATAGTAGACCAATGGCATGGACATGTCCATGCCCTTACAGCAGGAAAATATGGTTTGCAGACTTCAAAACAGAAGCACATGAAGCAGTTGGCATTCTCCAAGCTCAGCCTCTGCTTAGAAGTTTAACAAAGGTGAACACTTTTCTGGAGTTGCTGTCCGATCCAGAAACTTCACTTTTCTGGAGATGGTGACAGCAGCTATTGCATGGAGAAAATGGACCCAAAGGAAAGATGTTTTTCCATCTTCCTGTCAAAGGTGAGACACTTTTCTGGAGTTGCTTTCCTACTCAAACCCTGAACTGGCCAGGCTGAAAGCAGCTCATTAAGAGGCCAAGGCATTGCCCAGGTTAGGTTAACCACCCTCAAGAAGTGCAACCAGAGCCCCTGGCCCTGGGCTAGTTGGCAGTGGACAATAAAGTGATCAACATTTTCTAGGTCCTGTCTACACATCCCACACGCTTGATCTTGGAAGTTGAATCTGCAGGCCTCATCTCAGCAGCAGCTCCGTCATTGCACTGTTGTTAATTCAGATCTCTTGAAATTTCTGCAGCAGCTCCATTGTTGTAGCCACTTCCTAGTCATTTAAATATCATCTGAACTGGGGATGCCATTCTGTAGTTTCATTGTAAAGTTATCTGCCACCCTTGCTTCCTTGTTAAGTGGTATTTCAAATAAAAATGGAAAGATCTCCATAAGCGGTCTGTCATTACACCACGTCTTTCAAAAACCTCACTCTTGTACCCCCCCCCCCACTTCATACTTGAAAAGGTGTTCACTTTTCATGGATATACTCCATATTCCTTGATCCATATTTCGCCGTGATAACTCATCACCATAGACTATTTGGCTGCTTGTTATACCTCCAAAACCTTTTTTTTTTATCAATGACAGAATGTTTTATTAGAATATAAAAATTGTGAAACTTTGAGTACAAGAGAGGGGAGGTAAAATATCTTAACTCCCCCACAACAGAGAACAAGAAGGAAAGCTAAAAAGTGGCCCAAAACAAAGAATCCTTAAGCACCCCTTGCTTGGCTAACCCATCAGCCATGGAATTAGCACTTCTCTTCACCCAGCTGTACTTCACCTCAATATCCCTACTCAGCCATTTAAGTTTTTTTCTTTTCATTTCTGTAGCTCCACAAACCATTGCTGTCTTCCTTCAACCACCTAATTAACACCTCCAAAACCTTTTCCCCAGGAGGACTATGATGCTTCAACATGAAAGTTTCTTTGGGGAATACATACATTTTGGTTGGGGCTCTTTCATACTAAATAAACACTAGCTGATGTAAAACCAGGAAGAAGGGAAACAAGGAAGATGGGCTTTCACGTGTGGAGCCAACTGGGCTTCTATTGGTCTCACTAGCATAGGTGATCTCTAGAGAAGGCCCTAACCAAGAGATTGATGGCTTGGCGCATTGACAGAGTCAACAGTTCAAAGAGCTTAGGTTTTTAAGTAAGTTAAATTACAAATTATTTCACTTTTCTTCCAACATGTTTTTCAAGGGCCCCGACTTGTTTGTTAGAGGTTACTGAGCTATCCATCCCATGGGACCAAGATCTTGAAAACCCAATACATTTTGAGTGAGTCATAGCTTTTTTTTATGAATAATTAGAGATTTATTAAAAATTTTATGTAAAGACTTTACAATCATCCCTTAGAGAGGCACGAGCTGCTACCTCTCATACAAGTAAAAGCATATTACAATTGTGCCCTGAATAGACTAGACCTGTTCACCCCTTGTTTGGCCAAGGCATCCGACATCCCATTTGCTGATCTTCTCACCCATTGTATCCTTAAATTCATATTCCTGGTTAGCCAAATAATCTTCATTTCACTTCTGTAGCACCACATTATAGACTCCGGGTTCCTTAGCCATTCTACCACCACTTTCGAGTCCCCTTCTATCACCACATTTGTCAAATCCAGCTCACTAACTATCTGCACCCCTTGAATTGCAGAAAGCAATTCAGCTTTGAGAGAGTCCCCCATACCCACAGGGCCAGAAAATATTGATATAATTTTACCTTCTCAACCTCTCACCATCCCTCCAATTCCACATGGGCTTGGATTACCTCGGCTACTCCCATCAAAATTCAGTTTAACAAAACCTCCAGTTGGTGGTGTCCAGACCACCTCCACTCTGTCCTTTCTCTTAGAACTTTTAGCGACTATCTCCCAATTCCTCCAAATATCATCAAAGGAAAACTAGGAGAACAATTCCAGAGTCTTGATCCAGTGGATCACCCTAACCACACAAATCCTGATTTCTTCCTTGCTTCTCTCCTTCTCTGAGAAGATTCTTGCATTTCTCTCTTCCCAAATGGTCCAAATCAAGGCTGCTCTGACACATCTCCACATTATCCTCCCTCTCATCTTAGGCCAAGTAAAACAGGAGGGATCAAATAGCATAGTAACCTTCGTAGGTAACGTCCACCTGCACCCAAACAAAGAAGAAAACCAAAGCCAAAACTCTGCAACAAAGGGGCAGAAAATCAGTAAATGACAACAACTCTCATTACTTGATTTGCATAAGAAACACCAGTTTGGGGAGAGGCACGAATTAGGTCTTCTCTTTTGAAGCAGGTCCATAGTATTTATCTTCCTGTGAACTACTTCCCAGCAGAAAGCTCTTACCTTGGTTGGAGTGGGTCTACACCAAACTCTTTGACTAGAAAGGAAGGAACTGAGGAATCACAAAATGTCTTGAACAAAGAAGCACAAGAGAACAATCCCTTAGGGTTGGGGGCCCAAATCTGCTTATCAGGTTTACCGGGTTCCAAGTAAACATTTTGATAGTAATAGGGTGAAAGTCTATGATGGGACTAGAAAGTTTCTACCTTTTGGGTCTATTTTTTAGAGTTATCTTTTATTTATCTAGTTATAGTATATTAGTAATGGGTTGTTAGAGTTACAAATTGGCTTATATATTTGACTGTCCTTGTGGGTTATATATTAGTTTACCCTATTTCCAATGCAATGAGGAGTTAATTCTGGTTAGCTTGCTAGTTGGAATTGGAGTCACTAAAGGGATATCTGAGCCCTTACATTGAGTCTATAAACAGTCATTATAATTGAAGATTAGAAGATTTTATTTGATGCACACTAGTTTAGAGAATTCTGGTTGTAGTCAAGTATTTCTTATCTCTAGTTTAGTGAATTCTAGTTCTAGCCAGGCATTTCTTTTCTCTTCTCTATTATTTCTCTACATAGCCAACCACATAAATTGGGATAAGGCATGAATGATGATGATGATGATATTATTTTTCTACATATCATTAACATCATCATCTTGGGTTTTCTTCTTTCTTATTGCTAAAATCTCTATTTAGCAACACATTCATACAGTCTCGCCAGCTATATTCTATATTTCATCATTAACTTGTCATCATGTTCACATATTCTGCTGCATTGAAATTAGTTTATCATATATGAACCACAAATAACTCACAATTTAGACCAGGAAGATAGCAAATTTTGTGGATTCCTAGCAACAAGTTGTTTCCATTAATAACTTGCAACCTTGAACCTTAAATTTAAACCAGTTTGCTCTGGGGAGGGAGTCCTGTTGATGCTTTAGTGCAAGGCAGGACTTAGGAGACCAAGATAATATACTATTTTTGTATGGTTTCTTGAAACCATTGATCTTTTGGTAGCTTGCACATCTAAACTTGGTAAAGTTTCCACCTTAGAGATTTTCTCCTCAAAAAGTGTTGCTTATTGAGAAAGTCATTAATCACTATGCAGTGCTAGTTTGGGGCTCCCACATCCCATATAGGGGTATTGGGAGGATTAGACCGGAAACAATTCAAACAATCAAATAATTTAAAGCACAAATTAAATCTCAAGGACACAGCAACTTTTTGGAAAATTTTGAGGCATATTTCTTTAGCATGTTTTCCCTTCTAGACCAGAAAGAAATGCAGGAGTGTAAAGATAATAGAGGGGGGGAGTCCAAATGCAGTAGTGCATAGCAATTGCTGATCAAAAAACTAATAAACACAACAACAGGAAAATGCAGTAGCTGAGAATTCAGAAGCAATCTATTACCCAAAATAACCCTGAAGCAACCATTCAAGACAACGTTAAATTGGAAACATATTTAATTATGTAGCTACTAAAAGGTAAAGCATCCAAAGAACTGCAAACTTATCGTGCAATTACTATCACATATGATTATACTGAAATTAACACATGTCCACAAAATACAAAGTATAAAAAGAAAGGCTGATCATACAAGACAAATACCAACCATCTTCGATTTTCAGTTCAGGAATGGTAGGTCCTTTTGATACTGTACTCTTTCCGCTAGCTTTCACTGTCTTATCTCCCTTTCCTCCTTTGCCCCAATCTCCTAAACAATCATAAAGTACGCATTACAGATTATTAAAATGTAAGCAGAATGCTTATGCAAAACAGAAATATATCCGAGAGACCCTTGATATCCCAATCACAACATGCAGCCAAGGAAAAGCCTGGAGAGAAATGAATAAAAAGTGTAAAAGGTTCAAACCTTTTGAAACTGGAGAACCAAACGAGAATTTTCCACCCGACTTTGATGAGTTGCTGATTTTTGCGTTGGATGACTCTAAAGAAAAACGGAATGAAGATATTTGTGGGAAAAAGACCCATTAAAGTTCCACTTCGAAGAGTTCAAAGAAAGTCAAAAAAATAAAGACAAATGAGATAAAAGAATCATACCTTTTGAAGCAACACTTGCAGGCATGACTTTTCCACCTGATTTTAATGGAGTATCAATCTCTGCTTCTGGTTATTCCAAAGAAAAAGTGAGAAAGAAAGTTTCATTTGGTGAACAAGTAATGTTGAAATGTGAAGTTTAGCATCGTAACAACATATAAAAACACTAAATTCGCGGCAGAGGCGCGCAGAGCCAAAACAATGCACACTATGTGAAAATGAAAAGCAAATGGCAAATGATGCAGTAACCTTCAGGATCAGATGTATCAAACCGAATTGTCCTTCCCTTCTTTGACGAAGTTCCATCTTTCCCCTTCGCCGCTGCTACAAAATAAATAAATAAATAAATAAATAAAATACTAAAAGAGGGGAAAAAATAAAAACACTTATTGCAACGAACGAGGAGGGAGAAAATTAGAAAAAATTTGTTCGTTGATATGGAAAAGTCGAACTCCCTTTTCCAGCATTTGTGCTTCTGGCCTCCCTTAAAAAGGCTCAGTAGACATTTGCTTGGTTCCTGTTCCCGCGGCTTTGGTGAAAGAGTTTTTATGCTGCCAACTGGTCAAAACCATCCTCCAAGGACTAAGATAGCAGAAAAACATGTTAAGCTAATGACCCATTGTTTCTCTCGATCATAAAGAAGTGACGGAAATATGTCCAAAAAACCATCGGAAATCCATGCAACAGAAATCCTGGGCCTTTGATATCGATATTAATAACCCCGCATTTCCGAACTTGGCAACCAAATTACGAGGTTCTCAAGCAGTAATGAAATGCGAATAGAGCACTGACAAACTCTCTTCAAGCTGAACAGAAACCCTAGTTTTATGGTCTTAGCAATTGCATTACAATATTTAGTCCAATTAAGGTGTTGCGTCTGTGTGCTCCGTCGGAAACCGGAGGAGCTTCAACGAAAAAAGTTAAAAAAGAAGAAGAAGAAGAAGAAGAAGAAGAAGATAAATGAGAAGACTCAAACCTTCCTTTTTACCGGATGACGACTTAAGCGAAGATTTCATGTTAAACCCTTTCTCTCCTTTCCCCGCCATAACGGAACCCAGTAAGCAGGATTCAGCAGACCAACTTCTAGCTTGTATATGCTTTTCAGAGATAGAGGGAGCCTCTTTACCTTTTTCCCTCCACCGCAACGTCACTTGTGTATAGGCAATCAAGCCTCAAAGTATCGGAAATTTATTAGTGTATCGGAAATACAATTTTAATAGACGTATATAATACATCTGAAAATATTATAAATACTTTAATAAATCATAAAAATACAACAATGAGAAAAACCTTATAATTAAGTATAATTTAATAGTTTTATGAAGAAATATATTATAGTTAACTATAATTTCATTAAAAATCTTATAATTAAGTATAATTTATAAATTATAATTCTTAAGTTTTAATGTTTTATGGGATGAGAAAAACCCAACTCTCCTATCCAACTATAAAGCATGCATTAGCACAACTTCTATGTGAAAATATAATTAATAATTATATATTATTTATTATTTATTTTCAAAAATTATAAAAAACAAATAAATATTATATAATATATTTAAAAAAATAGTTATTAAAGAAGAAATTTCAATTGCTTTATGGATATGGTAGATCATCTATATAATTATAATATATTTAATCATTGTAATCAAATGATAAAATATAACTAATTATTTATTTATTTTCTAATTCTAAAAATATAAAAATACAAAAAATAATAATTATTAAAGAAGAAATTTCAATTGGTCTATGGATATGATAGATCATACATATAATTATAATATATTCAATTGTTGTGATCAAATGATAAAATATAACTAATTATATATTTATTTTCTAATTCCAAAAATATAAAAAATAATTATTAAAGAAGAAATTTCAATTGGTCTATGGATATGATAGATCATCCATAGAATTATAATATATTCAATTATTGTGATCAAATGATAAAATATAATTAATTATTATTTTTTAATTCTAAAAATATAAAAAAATAAAAAATATATTAAAGAAGAAATTTCAATTACTCTATGGATATGATAGATAAATCCATAGACCTAAATATATTTAATCTTTATAGGTAGAGAGAAAATTACATTTTCAAATTTTTTTGTTAATTTATATTTCCCCAAATATCTTCATGAAATTTTCATAAATCTACTAATAACACAAGAAATTTGTGATTTTGAATGTATGAAATGTAGATCAACATAAATTTAATCATTCAAGAAAAAAAGAAATCACAAAATATTATAAAAGATTGAAAAGTTTTACCTATTTTTTCAAATTTTGAAAAATCTTAAAAAAAAAGTTTAATGATTCACACTTGTTTCTTGCAAAATTTTGCAAATCTAGAACTCTATGAATGAAGTTTGGAGTTTTAGAGTCATTTAGGGGTGAAAGAAGGCTTATTTCAAGGAAAAGAAGTTTGTTTTCCCCCCTTTAATTTTTTTTTTAGTTTTTGGCCGTATCTTTTTCGTCGATACGCCCTCGATACACCCCGATACAGGTTCGATACGCATGAAAAAAGATGAAACATCCTATTTCCATGTGCATCTTGTATCAATTTTTCAAAGATACGATACAATATGCCCCGTATCGGGCATATCGTATCGAAATTTTAAACCTTGTTGGCAACTCCCAAAGTGGAACCATAGTATCCGAACCGAGGATCCAGTGTGTTTAGACTCGAAGAGAAAATTTTTACGTCATTCATTGCTCAATTGGCCATTTATTAAAACACCCCTTGTAGTTTCATTAATTTAGTAAAACTTACTATGTTTTATTAAAAAATTCTTTACACAGTTTATAATTAATTTATTTAATCGACCTTTTATTAGATGAAAATAGAAAATGACAGTTTACACCTTAATATCCATTCAAATGAATTTAATCAAAACAAACTAAAAGCAAAAATGTCATTTTTGACCTTAATAAAATATGGACACCCACTCTATTTTTCTTTATTTGGTTAATTTTGTTTTATACAAAAAGTGTTATGAATACTTATGGAAGAAACAACCATGAATCATACCTTTGAACATTTTTCACTTAGTTTAAGGGTATTTTTGGAATAAATAACCATGGGTTCGTGCCCTTGAACATTTTCTAATTACTTTAGGTGATTATGTATTCATGTTACTATTTTCATATGGCAAAACGAATCAATGTTTTAAAAACGGACCCAAAGGTCGAACCGTTTTTATCTCCGAGTCATGGGTCACTTGTTTGACCGACTGGGTCAATGGCGGTTGAAAACATTGAAACAAATGGTTCTTAATGAAAGGTCAATTAAGTAAATAGGTTGCAAACTATAAGAGGTATTGTACAATTGTGGATTGGGGTGCAATAATGCACTGAACTGGATTTTACATTGTTGCCAAATGTAGCCCAAGGAACACCAAAGTTAATTATGTGAGTTTTTCATTTCCCAATTTTTTTCTTTTTCTAATGTATCTACTGATTCATCTATCAATCTTCCTGGTTTGGTGATTTGCAACATGTTAGAATTAAAACTTTTGTGGTTTAAGTACTTCTAAGTTGAATTGATTTCCACTCTTTATAGAGATGGTTTACAAGAGCTTGATTTTTAATGGAGATCTCTAAATACATTTTACATTCAAATATAACATCTACCTACAAGATCTGACCTAGATGCCCAACTAGATTCTTGTGTTTTTCCCTCAAAGCTTTCAATTAAAGTTCTAGCATTCATAAGTGGAATTTATAAATGAGAAAAGATGGATGGTTTCTTCTGTCCCATAATGGATGCAGCTGAACTAAGATGAACTGAATATTTACTTGCATGTTCTATTATTTCATAATATGCCCCAAAAGAATCCCCACACGCACAACTTAAGTTCTACTGTTTCTACTAAGTCAAGACAAGTAGAACCAGATTTTTACTCACGTGTTCTATTATTTCTTCTTTGTTAAAAGATAATTGGTCTTACATGTAGAGTTTGGGCAGCTTTTAAAGCTTATTAGGCTCCGATTCATGTAGACGGAGCATTCTCAAGCCTGCTTCTTTCCTAGATTTCTTTTTTGGTTTTTTCACTGGCTTTTTCTTGTTTTTGTTCCTATATCCATAGCAATTGTGATCGGGTAAGATGAAGAGCTTAATTTCTGTTTTGAATGTGAATCGATTACAAGGAGTAGTCAGTTGTGGCTAGTGGCAATGACTTGGTGGTTGATAGGTGGATGGACCATTCATAGGAATGGAGAGGAAGTGATAATTTTATTCAAAGCTAAATAGRGGGTTAATGCAGTAAATTTATAAAAATCGTTAATGTCCTAATGAGTGACAGGTCTACGTCTCTAGTATGGCACTATGGTGGTGTCTACAGGTTTTGAAATTCATTATGAGTTCAAGAGAAATGTGAAAAAAAAATCATGGCAAGTGTTAGATGATATCGCCAAAAGAATTACAATCACAATCTTTTAAGTAAATATCTTTTTATTTTTCAGACTCATAACTAGTTAATTTTTCTTGAAATCTAAGTGGTGTTCAAAGGTTTTAACTAGGGGTGAGCACTATTCCATTAAAACCGAAAATTTCGGTTTTAATTTTTTTGGTTTGTTTTTTTTCGGTTTTTTGTTAAATCGGTTTAATTAATTCGGTTTTTGGTTTCGGTTTGTAGAATTAAAATTTTGGTTAATCGAATTAGCCAAACTTTTTATTATTATATGTAATATAATAATATATTGAAATTTGATTTCATAATATATATTTTATAATATATAACATATATTATATGTTATAATATATAATATATTATATATTATTAAATTTTGGTTTTAACCGAAATAACCGAAAACCAAACCAAAACTTTTGGGTTTTGTTTTTAATTTCRGTTTCGGTTTGGTTTTATTTTTTTAGTTCATTTTTTTTTATTTCGATTTTTAACCGAATAAACCAAATGCCCACCCCTTGTTTCAACTAATATCAATCAAGTTATCCTTGTCCTTGAACATTGTAACAAATTCAACTAAYATGATTGAATACCAAACTAACCCAAATAGCCATTGATGTCTTCTATTAAGATCATGGAATTAATCTGAACCACCCATGTGATGTACAAGGRTTTCAATCAATTTATACCATCCAAATAAATCAACACAAGTGTTTGGGTTATGGTTGAGTTGGCCCCCAGATCCCACGTGTCGCCCCGGTGGCCGCCCAATCACCTCGGCCACATCAGCACCACATCACCTCACGACCTACCTTATCTCCTTGGCCACGTCAGCGCCACATTACCTCCGYGGCCTACCTTATCTCCTCGATCATGTCAGATTCGTGTCACCTCCGTGGCCCACCTTATCTCCTCAGCCACGTCAGCACCGCATCACCCCTGCAGCCTACCTTATCTCTTCAGCCACGTTGGCACCATGTCATGCAGATAAGTGCGACCAAGACAAGAGAGTGGATGGGGACAACTCCGCTGGTGATTAGGTCTTATCCCGAAGACCTTAGTGGTTAACCTCATCCTGATGACCTTGGAAGCCTCATCTGATCAGGACACAGATCCTTAGCTATAAAAAGGTACCTCCCGCTCAATGCAAGGAATTCCAACTCTTGATTTCTATACCGTTACTCTGTTCGGACCAGCACCATTCTCCAACCGCTCGGCCTGACCACCCACCTTCCTCGACTAACTTGAGCGTCGGAGTATCTACTCGGGGATAACTCCTCGGGCCTCTAACTTTTCTTGGTTTCAGATCTTGGAGTGCGGCCTCATCCTTCCACCTCGACTTCGCCCAGTTGGCATGACTATCTGACTGTGACCTTGRTTCAAGCACTACCTCAGATCGAGCAACATCAGACATGAGTRGTTTCTTGAATGTAATGAATCAGTCAATGACCATCCAAGTATGCCCTAGTATTTAAATCCATCTTAGACATTCAATTAAAGCRGTACTAAAAAGGCATTAATTTATTACTCTAGGTAATATTTGACTTGGGTAGTCGAAAAAGAAAATGATGTATAAAGTTAASAGGAAAATGATATATTACTTGGATAGTCAAAAAATAAAAGGGTAAATTTCTTATACTACCTTTATGATTCAATTAATTGACTAAGTGCACCCTTGTTGTTTGAAAATTAACTTTCGCTACCTTTATTGTTTTTGACAATTGTCTAAATCTTCAAGAGTCACTAA